TATCTCAGCAATGGGATTAGAGAAATAAATAATAAAAGTTCTCAGAGGGTTCTTTTCTGAAAGGATACTAAAAAGCTAGGAAAATTCCTGGGCAAGTGAAATAGGGAAACTGAAACAAGAAAATTAAACCAAGCCAAAAAGTCTGAGCAATTATGGCAAGCTGATGAATAACAAGAACTTATCTCTTATAACCAAGGACACTCAAGAGCAAATGGCTTATACCTCTCCTCCCTAACCAAAGAATACATAGCTTAAATATTCCTGGTCTGGAGAATAATGGGCAGAAATTCAATAATGTCTTTTTTTGCCAGCTAAACCAGAAGACAGATGAAGTCAGGGGGACAAATAACAAGCACCCTATTAACAGCCGGGCAGATCCAAGATAAAAGTAAAACAGCATAGCAGACCAAAAAAAAATCCCACACCCACCTTTATGCTCATTTTGACACATCAGCATATTAAAAATGTACCTGGAAAACTGATGAATGTCCTGCTGAAACCCACCCCTAAGATTCTCACATATAGAAAAAAGATACAAAGTCCTCAGGACAAAGACTCAGTGCAGTCTTGCTGTAGTACAGCTTACCAATGCCTCTTCCCAGGCATGGAAATTTCTACTTCCTCCTAAGCTCTAATGGTCCCAAGGAGACTTGCAGCCAGGGGAGCAGCTCAACCTAGGGTTACCCCCGATCTGGTCTTTAAGGCCCCTTTTTCCCCTGACTTCCCAGTGAGCTAATAGCAGCCCCACTTTGGCTCACTCCTTTACTGTAACTTTTCCAGTGAGCCAAAGCAGAGAACCGCCTAGGCTCTCTCCTGTTGCTTCTTCTATCCCAAGTCCTTCCCTTATTTTACTGTCCCTAGCCTTAATAAAAACACTCTTGAAGTCACCTGAACTTGTGAAATATTTTCTACATTCAGTCAAGAACCTACACTACTGACCAGCCTGAGGCAGATCCACTCCAGACCAATTCCTATCCAGTAACACCATGAACTCACAATCCTGAAGGATAGAGAGGGGGCTGGGATGGTAGGAAAGATTATACCAAACAGAATTAGCTGAGGCTCCTCTTAGCTTTAGTGACCTCACTTTCTAATTGTAGACAATGCAGAATCATGGTGTCAGACCTTTTTCACCTCCAAATATTTTCACCTTTAAATTGACTGTAATTCCATCCTTGTGTTCTTCTCTTTGACCCCCAAGGGAGAAGTGTCCCTAATGTCTTTGCAATACTAACTGTCCTCTAAATCCTACTCCTGCTCACCTCCCCCTGGGTCTTGTGTTCCATGTCTTAAGTCTAAAATATCTTGAGTACTTCACTTTCATGGTTGCTTTGCTTTGGACAAGGAAACATGTTCAAGCCATCCCATTCCACTTAAATAAAGATTGGACCCTGACTCTTCCATATACTTTTATCTTCTTTATACCCTTTAATTGACAGATTTCTCAAAAAAATATAAACAAAAACAAACCACTAGTGCTTCTGTCTCAATAAATGTTGATTTAAATGAACTAGTGAATGTACCCCAACCATTTATTATTTTGTCTCATTTCTGCCCTCATCTTTTAAAGAAAAATTCTCTTTAAGCCTGATACTTGTACTCTAGTTACTCAGTCCAGAAGGACCCTCCAAGATGTTCATGCTGCTTAATTTTGGGACCTTCTCTGTGTTGACCATCTGTCTTCTCTTGTACCCATGATGATAATGTGCCTCCAAACAAAGTAGATCATATAAGTACTGTGGATCAGAGACTTAGCAAAGATATGTTAAAAATTCCAGCATTTATTGAACATATATTTATTGAGGAATGTCAGCATGCTGGGAAATGTGCTAGATGCTATGAGATTAATGATGAATAAGATCAGTTAGATTCCTTCCTTTTGAGAGTTTACATTCTAGTTGGGGGACGCAGACTATTAACTTGTAAATACTTGAATAAGCAAAAGAATTTTAGAATGTTTTAAGTGTTGATAGAGAAAAAGCAGGTTTACAGGAACAAGTATAGAGGACTCACGGACAAAAACCAAGGGGGGTGAAAATGGGAGGGATGTGGGGGGCACTGAGGGGTGGTGGGCTGGGATGGGAGTAGAGGACAGAAAACTGTATTTGAACAACAATTAAAATAAGTTAAAAAATAAGCAGGTAATGAGATGGAGAGTAACTTCAGGCTACTTTTGTTGTGTGATTAGAGAACATGTAGATAAAGTGTTGTAACTCTGGTGCTCATCATGAGCTGCTTTAGTCCCTTCTGTGTCCTGTCTTTTCCAGTGCCTATCAAATGTCATTCTCCAATGATTTCTCTTCTGGGTATTAATCCAAAGGAAATGAAAATACTAATTCAAAGACATGCACCTTCACCTTCATTGCAGTATTATTTACAATAGCTAAAACATGGAAACAAGCTATTTCCTCTGATAGATAAATTGATACAGAAAATAAAATATTATTCAGCCATGAAAAGAAGAAACTCTTACCATTTGCAACAACATGAATAGACCTTGAAGGCCATTCAACATCCATGAATGGACCTAAATGAGGTAAGTCAGTTAGAGAAAGGAAGGTATTACCTTTTTGGTGTGTGTGAAAACTAAAAACAATTACAAAAAAATAACCATTGAGCTCACAGAGAAACAGATTGGTCATTGCCAGGGTTGGGAATTGAGGGAGCCAAGTGGTTCAAGGAATTCAAAAGGTACTAACTTACAGTTATAAAATGAGTCCTGAAGGTGTAATGTATAGCAAAGTGACTATAATTGATTATACTGTGTTGTATATTTGAAAGTTGCTAAGAGAGTAAAACCTTAAAAGTTTCCATCTTGAGAAAAAATTGTAACTATGTGTGGTGTGGATATTAAGTAGATGTATTATGTTGATCATTTTATTATATACATACTTCAAATCATTATGTAGTACAACAAAAACTAACATGATGTTATATGTCAATTATATACCAATACAAAACTTAAAAAAACTTTCTCTTGCCTCAACATCTCTATCTTCTGTCCTCTAAATCTTATTATTCCTTTGCTATTTGAAGCTGCTTTTGGACTTGTTGGATTAACTATGTAGAATGGCTGATGCAATCGGAAAGTCATCCAAACTTCCTGGCTCTAGCCATTGTGGGGTATCCATCCACTTCTGATGGGGTAATGGCGATGTAGGCACCTTTTGTGCTGTGGAACCCCCCATTTACTTCTGTGGTCCCTGTCTCATATTATTAAATATTGGACATCATTTACCCCATTAATTTGGTTCCTTTGTTTGAAAAGCTATTGAATTTCTTGTCTCTCTTCCAATTATAGTCCATATTTCATATTGCTTCCTGAAACTCATATTTAAATCCTCATTGGTTTATGATAGAATCAGATTACTTGGCATTCAAGACCCCTTGTAATTTGGCAAGAGTTAACCTAATTTGTTTTACAACTTTTGTTTCTCTTCCTACTTCTAGTTCACTTTCTTCCCTTAGAAACTACACTCTGCTATTTTTGTCAACCTCAAGTTTTCTTAATCCTGTGTATTGAAGGGGAACAGAACATATGTGCCACTTTGGCAGGTGAATAATTTTGAGCAACCAAGACCCAGCAGACTGTGGAAAAGCTCTTAACCTCTCCCTTATCTATCTAAAATAATTTAGATGTGGGGCTCATACCAGGAAGAGAGCTATTATCAGAAATAACTTTTTGTTTTTAATCTGAAAGGCTTCTCTGCATGACATGCAAACATTTGTTTAATAAACATTTGCTTTTCTCATCTGCCTGTGAATTTGCCTTCCTCCCCTTTGAAGCTCCAGAGTCCTACCTCCTTCTCTTTAGTTCTGGATGAAATATAAGCCTCAGTGGCCTGACTACCATTAAATATTCAAGCTTCTTTTGGGCTTCTGTATGTATATAAATAAATTTGGTGGTTTCTTGTTAACTGTCTTATGTCAATTTGATTATTAGAACAGCCAACAAAACTGAAAGGGAAGAAGAAAAAATTCTTCTCCCTTACAAAATAATATTACATGAGACTTTCCCAATCTTTCTTGCCCAGGACTTTACCGTTTAGACCCAGTTCAAGTTTCTCCTTATTTGAGAAGCCTTCCATTTATCTTCCAGGTTCAGTTAGTACCTCTCCTTTCTGTTCTCACAATGGAACTTATTACATTAATTATAATAACAACATTCAACTCTCCAGCCCTTTATTCCTGGAAAAGAGTTAAAAACAATCTGTTCACTCTTTTGTGCTCTTAAATGTGGCTCACTGCAAAGAACCACCCTTCCCATAATGACTTAAAGAGAGAAGACTCAGTGATGTCCCCTAACCTTTAAATTCTCTCTCTCTCTTTTTTTTTTTTTTTTTGCCAAAAAAAGATGAGCTGAGCTGTTAGCCTTCTCTGATCAATAGAAACAAAGTGCTTGTTACTAAACCTTAATTAAGATTCTCTCCTTTCTCCAGGCCCTTGAACTTTGACTCACCTTCCTTTTACCCAGCAAACAGTGTGCACTTCCTCTGCTCCAACTCTCTTAAATGATCCTATCTAAAGATCATCAAACTTCAGGAAAAAACATTTCCTGATTATCCCTCTCCCCCCATACCCTGTTCTTTCTAGCAGAACCTCCTTGACCTTTTCCTATAAAAGTTCCTGTCTGCCTGGCCTGTGAAATGCTTACAGCTCTAAGGTTGTATTGTTTTCTCTGTTGTAATAGTCTTCTTTCTCTTATTGAAATGACCTTTTCAAATAATGTACCTTTTTTACTTATGTCTAGATTTATTTTTATTTACTAATACCAATAACTAAATTGTTTAATTGTCTGTTCAGATAGTATAGTCCCTTTCCTTCAGATTTGGAGCTGTTGTTTGGAACAATGACCATTGCAGATTCAAGTAGGGTTCTTAGCATGGCTTAATCTGCTTGTGTCTGTTTCCTCTGAACTTTTTAATACATTTCTGTTTCTGTTTTAGTCTTTGAGTCTGTCTTTTTTGTCTAGCCCATTTTCCTCCCTCTTCTTCACGTACCTGTGTCTTTGAGGCCAACCTCCTGTCTTCAGTGTGTAGAGTAGGTTCCTTCCCAGAGCTGGCAGACTGCTGACTCATATCTCCAGCCTAGACTTAGGCTCTGGCTGTGTAGAGGTGTCTGGATTTATATACTGAGCAAGAAGTGAAAAACTGGTTTCACTTTTGCTTTTAAAAAAGGAAAATTATTCAGATAATTAAAAGGACTCGTGTTTATTTATCTTTACTACAATTCCTTGTTTTTTTCAAATTACCACAATTAGGAGACTAATGTTGGTGTGTGGGTGCATGTGTGTACATACCAATGGACTGGGGTGAGCACAAGAGTACAACCATAGCAGAAACAGGGTAGGGAGAGAATTTGGGAGAAGAGACATAGGCACATTTTCAGAGCAGTGTCTTTCTCAGGAATGAGCTTTAACAGCTTTACTGTTTTAATTCTTAGGTTGTAACTGAACAAAAACAAAGTTTTGGCTGCTTGCTGCCACAAAATCCAAAGTTGTGAGACAAATCTGGTGCAAAAGGAAAGAGGTTTTATTCAGCTGCCAAACAACCTGGAAGAAAGGTGGACCCCATGTCTCATGTCCTCTTTCTGCCCGTCTATAGTATTTCCCAGGAGTGGAATGGGAGGGCTTTTTTTCTATGCATATACCCTTCTAGCTTTTGGTGTGCCTGAGGCCCCATCCATTTATCTTTTTAGCCTTCACGCATTCAAAGTCCCATCTATTTATCTGCCCAGCCTTTGGAGTGCTCAGGTGCTATCCACTCACATCTCTAGCTTTCTGCCTGCTCAGTGTAAGAACATCCTTCCCCTCCTGGGCAAGTGGGGGCGACTTCCCAACTCTCTGATTGACTGTCTGTGATAACAATGATGCCTAGAACAGAAAGAGAAGTATGCTCCTAGTGCTAATAAAATTTGTTATTTTTTATTTCTTGTAAAATCTTTTAGACTAGACTGAGTTTTAAGTCTTGAAGCTCTGTTTTCTGAAGATGTCTAGTTTGAAAATTAACAGAACTTCCAACATTTTATTACCTCATTTAGATTAACCTCTTTTAGTTTAATGATCATAAAGGTGGGTTGTATTTAAAAAATCTAAAAAACACATTCTGTGTTTATGGTGAGAGACAAAATTTTATTCTTCTCTATCTTTTATGTTAGAGCTTTTTAGAAATGTTATTTCTGACAGTGTTCCTCAGAGTTAAAGTCATGTAAAACATTTTATTATCTTTCTCTGAATATAATGCATTATAATATTGATTGCAGACCAGTACACCTTTCCTATTGTTTTTCTATTTCAAACTTTTACAGTCTGATGCACAGGTATTCTTCCAGGTGAACTTCATATTTCTTCTTTTAGGTTTCTCCAGAAATCCTATCTATATCGTCCCCTTTTCTACTTGTTTTCCTTATATAGGAGCATTGGGGTTTTCTTTCTTTTCTTAAAGTTTATTTTTCAATTACAGTTGACATTAAACATTATGTTGTATTAGTTTCAGGTACCCAGCATTGTGGTTAGATAAACAATAATTTAAAAAATGATCTCTTCAATAATTAGAGTACCCACACACCACATATAGTTATTATAATATTATTGACTATATTCCCTAAGATCATTGGTGTTTTCTAATAAGCAAGAGTTTTAAGGCCAGTCAGAAGCATTTGAATCCAGCATCCACAGTTAGTAGCTATATTTGCTTAAGTCTTGGTTATGGAAGGGCAACCCAAGGAATAAGAGCAACTGAGTAGTAGAGTGAATTTCCCAGTAGTAATACCAACCTCACACAATGTTAATGGAGATAAAAGCCTTAGCCTGAAGTAGTTGTTCAAATTTGAAATATTCTCCTTGGCACATAATTGGTTGGAAGATAAAAGCTATCAAAACAAGGAGCTTCAAGGGAAATCTCACCAGCTGCCAAGTTCCATCAAGTGTGTAATATGAATTTATGAGATTTTCTGTATGAGTGTTACAGTTCTTGTGGGATTTTGTTTTCCACTTATATGCTGGGTCTTGTACCAGTGTCTGTGTTTTTTCTATTGCTATGCTATGAGTCTACAGATGATAGACTTTGATGTACCTCAGATTCTGTCACATTAAAACACATTTTCTGTATATGGTAAGATCTCAGTAAATATTTTATAATTTTTCTGTGGTCTCAAAATTAGATACACAAATGGGTTGATTCCACCACAGCTGCTTCTTATTACTAAGGTCAATGTCCAATACTGAGAGAAGACTTTTGGTTTCATTTCTCATATTCATCTCAATTCCCAGAAATGTTTGTTCTTGACAAGGATGTTTGTTAAAAGATTAATGAACATTCTTTGTGAGCTATAATTTCCAGGCTTTCCCGCCTTTCTGCCAGTTTTGTAACTTACAATTCCATTTGAAAAATTTTGGCCTTATTATGCATAAGTAAAGGGAAAAGAAATTCACCCAGACCTCCTTAGAAATACTTGAGAGAGCTGAGTACCCAGGAGCTTTCCCAGGGTGAGGCTAGAGTGGCACTTAGGGTGCAAGGGAGCTTAAGGCTCAGGAAATCTTTACATTTTGCATTCTAGGTGCCTCATTTACTTAAACCTCTTTCCACCCCTAATCCCAGCTTTGGCCAAAAGTCCATTGCTGTGGGGCAACTCATCTCTCATCCATTTATTAGAGAGAGAAGGGCAGCTGAGATCACTAAGTCTATCCTGCCTGGCATTCATCTCTTATTTTTTCCTTTCAGCTTCCCTTTCTGAAATCTTGTGGGAGTTACTTGTCAACAAAAAGAGGGGAGAAGAAGAAGGAAAATCAGATAACCCAGGTGTAGTAGTAATAATCCAGTCTTCATATTCAACATTACATGTGTGAGTGTTTTTCCTTCACTGAACAATTGTGCAATACTGACTGGGTGTCCAACAATATACGTGTAACACATTCCGACACTGTCTACCTGCACACAGTGTAACATCCCACAGGTTAAGGGCTCAATGCTCCCTTCAGATTCCAGTCACAGGTAGCACATCCCTGGGTACTCACAACTTCTGTCCAGCTTGTTTACAAAGTAGAAGTTCCCACACTTCTACTAAAACAAGAAGGGTTCTACAAAATAGAACACTTTTTAGGTTCTATTAATTATCTGGAATGGTTCATAGAACTTAGGGAAACACTTGCTTATGTTTACCAGTTTATTAACGGGTATTATAAAGGATACGGATAAATGGACATACAGGGCAGGGTCTGGAGGAGCCTTAACTGATATGGACCCCAGCTCATGGGGTCTGCAACATTGTGGATGGGGGAGAGACATTTACATGGACTACCGAGTCCTGTGGAAGAAAAGGGACAGCATGGCTTTTTCTCTCAAGGGGAGCCAAAAGCCACAGCCTCCCCCATGACAGGCCTTTATTGGGTTTCTGCTCACAGTACATGATGGTCCTCAATTACTATGCATAGGTTCACTTTAGGAAGTTACCTTTTACAGAAAACAAAGGAGTCAATGCCACTAATCACTTCATAGAAGAAGGATATTTACAAATGAAAAGGGAAAAGTGGTTGAACCGGTTGCACTTCATACTGGGGAGTTTTAGCATGGATTTTAGGAAGTTACAGTAAGCATTTGGTTTCTCAATTCAGGGTGAGGGTGTTTTAGAAAAAGCAAGTCTCAAAGCAGCCTAGGCACATTGCAGGCCTGATTCCCCACAGGAGAACCTATCTGTGGGCGTGGGTCCTGCATATCTCTGGGTGGGAGCTTGGCCCACACCACTCAGAATGGTCTCCTACACTTAATGTAGGAACTTTTGTTTTCTTGGCATTGTGGAACATCTTCCTCCCAGTATATGTAGTATTATATTCACCAACCTAGAAGCTTATGTGTAGGAAAAATACACATAATAGTGTATTTATCCATATATCAGGCACTTGTTCTGATAGTTTTCAAAGGCAATGAGACTTTCTTTGTAGTTTTGTGTGCTGCAGAGCAGGTTCTGGTGCGGTATAAATACAGAAGTAGAGACATTGGTGGTAGGAAGAAAAAAGTGATAAAGCAAAAAATGTCCCTTAGATCTTGTGAATTTTACTGTCACCTATAGAGAATGACTTGTATGCTGATGGTAGATTATTTGTCCATGCTTTGGAATGTTGACAACATTTATACAATGGTTTTTTCCTCATGGCTTATTATACAGTTTTAGTCTATTTGAGTGCCAATTATGGAGGTAAAGTCACAGAAAACAGTGATCTATTCAAAGAAGGCAAAATTGCAACAAATTAATGAAGGTGTAAAGTATTGTAATGTCCTCACTCCTCTCCCTGATCAAGGTAGATTTGGTTTTAAGCCAATTTAGAGCTAAAAGTATGAGTTAATATTTCAAAGTGGTTGTTCTCAGTATTTATTTTGCATAATTGTCACTTGAGAATATCTTACAAATATGGATTTCCAGCCTGCTTACAAAAATTCAGACTGGGAGGTCTAGCTTATAGTTCAGGAACTATTATTATTTTCAATTTTTTTATTATTGCTCAATTATAGTGGTCCCCATTTTCCCCTGATTACTCTCCTCTGCCCTACTCACCCCACATTCCACATTCAACCCTCTCCCCTATTGTCTTTGTCCACGGGTTCTTTATGCATGTTCCTTGGCTTGACCCTTCCCCTTTTTTCCCCCGTTATCCTACTCCCCCCCTCCCCGGTCACTGTCAGAGTTTTTTTCTTTATTTCCATGCCTCTAGTTCTAATAGGAACTATTATTTTTAAACACCCCCAAATTTAATTTATGCTGTTATCACGTGGTCAATTACATTTTGCAAAAAACACTATTCTGAAGAGACATTTATAGTGAAGAAAATGTGAGAGTGTGAAAAATAAACTTTTATCCCACAACATTGCTGTGCTTGTTGTTATTTCCAATAGTCTTTTGGTGGATTCTTTAATGTTTTCTATATACAGAATCATGTAGTGCATACATAGTGACGAGTTTACTTGTTTGTTCCTTATTAGGATGCCTTTCATTTCTCTTTCTTGTCTTATTGCTCTGGCTAGGACTTCTACTACTATGTTGAATAATAATGATGAGAGTGGGCATGCTTTTTTTTGCCACTGACCTTAGAG